TTATGCTAGAGACTTCATCTTTTTTTTGTTTTAAAGCTATGAATTAGGGCTACAACATATTTTTTTAACGGAAACAATACGTATGATAGTTGTGGAGATAATTGCAATAAAGTAAAAAATCGGCGAACATTGGATCAATTTCCTGAGTCACTGTAAAAGTCTACAATTTTTTTTTTGGAATCCTCCAAAAAGAGAGGGAGGATACTATTCAAACCGATAATAGAGGGGATTAAAAATAACAAGAAAGTGAGCGGACCCAAAAAAAATAAAATTTAGTGCTTTAAAAGGCAACAGATACCAAGAAATTGGTATCCACCGGAAAAAAGGGGGTGGATACCAAAAGTCGCCTACCGCTAAGATACGAAGATACCTCAAATTATGTGCAGTGGCCGTTTGCCCTTCGGTCGCGGCTCAACATACCACTCCGAATTTATCAAAGATGACACGTACGGTACTTGAGCGAGAGAATTAGCAGAGTTAAGAAGGCGTTCGACAACAGGAAGCAACCGACGCAGTCCTTTTCCAGTTCGTAGTTCCGTTTTTCAAATCAGTTCTACCACTTCTCGGCCGTGGTAGCTTGTTGCAATTATCACGGAAGCTCGATTCTTCATGTTGAGGGATATTTCTTAGTTGCAGGTACTTGCTTAGCGTATACGGTCAAATAAAAATTTATTTGACTGGACGGGGATCTCAAGTTAACACCGTGGTACGAGGATAGTACTTCTTCAATGAGGTCAAAAAAAAACTGCCCCTTTTATTTCGCTCTATTCTCCTTTTTATATACGGCGGAGCAAATATAGTAACACAAAAATCTATGGGGGATTATCTATAGCAACAAATAAGGATAAAATCATGGGGTCATTTTCGGAGTAAGTCCGGAACTGCCGTAAGTCAACGTCACAATCCGGGCCGAACCGGCAGAAAAGACTTGAGGCTCAACACACAACTTGGGACGTGTCAAGCTCCCCTTCTTGAGCGAGAGTCGCTCTGCGGTTCTATCATCTCCGTATTCGCACCCGGTCTTCTACAAACTCTTGTCTTTTTCCGGAATTGCTACCTCGAGTCACCTCCGGTATCATTCTCTGTCGAACCTCCCACGGCTTCAGTTGGTCTCCATGTACAGCAAACTCGATGCGTCGTCCACCGGGGCCTTCTAACCAATAAGTTCCGTTGGAGTTGACCTTGACTACCAGACACGGTCCTAGCCAATTATCAGAGAACTTGGTGGATTTATGCTGGTCTCGGAAGAGCACTTCATCACCGATTTCGAATCTTCGCGGAGCAACCAGTTGGTCGTATTTGTTCTTGTATTTTCGTTTGTTTTCTTCTGAACATTCCTTCGCGTTGGCACGATACTCGTCCATCAGTTCGAGGATGTGGGCGACACGGTTCTGCACCTCTTCTAACCACTCGCCTTCGACATAGTCATCCCGCGGTGCAGGCCAAAGAGAGGGAGTCCTCAGCTCGTAACCAAATAGTAACATGGAGGGAGTGAACTTGCACGAGTCGTTTGGCATCGTCCTAATGGCCAATATTGCTTCGTCGAGGTACTGGTCCCAGTTCTTCTTCTCGCCTTTGTCCCGGACGATCTTCGATAAGGCCTGCACTACCGTTTGATTCATACGTTCGCAGAGCCCGTTGACTTGCGGACGATAGGCTGTAGTTGTCAAGTGGCGGCACCCCATTCGCTTCAGGAAGTACCCCACATGGTCAGCAGTGAAATTGGATCCACGATCCGTGAGTAAGTACGTAGGTACACCAAAGTCCTTGACCAAACAGTGAAACAGGAAATGCACGGTAGTCTCTTCATTTATATTAGGAACGGCGGCGGCTATCGGCCAACGAGTTAGGTAATCCACTGCAACTAAAATATACCTATTCCCATTCTTCGATTTCACCACTGGGCCGATCGCATCGCACCCTACCATATAAAATGGTGTAGATGGAGTAGGAATTGGGTGGCCTTGCTCTTGCCTAATTCTTTGTCGTCTGGCTCGCATCTGACAGGTCTCACAGGTCTTCACGAACGCTTGCACTTGTTCGAATAACCGGTAAGCCTCAAATTGCAGTCGCATGCGACGCCACGTGTTGTTAATGCCTAAATGGCCCTCCGAATGTACTTGTTGTATAGCAGCTTGGATATTCGCGGAGTGTAAGACTTCTTGGCCCATCTGGTCGTCCTTGCGTTTGATGTATAAGCGGTTGTTATAGGCGATGTACTTTCGAGCACGGTTGCATATCTTCTTGCGAACAGTCTTGTCGTCGCAGTCCAGCGGGTAAGTCCCTTGTGCCAAATAATTGTGGAGCGCAATGTAGAACGGGTAATCCATGATAGCAATACGGTGGTTTATTCAATTCTCAATACGGTCTAAAATAATGGGATAAGTATGTGTGAGTTCTATCGTTCGGAAATACTGGTAAGGTTTCTTTTTTTTTTTTTTTTTTTTTTTTTGGTTTTTTTGTTTTTTTTTTTTTTGTCTGATTTTTCTTCGTTTTCGCTTCCTTTTTTGTCTAAGGTGTTTGTTTCAATCGCGATAGTGCGTCAGCAGGGTTGTTGGTTCCTTTACGGTAACGAGGTGAAAAGTCAAATTCCATGAGTGCAGCTGCCCATCGTGCGATCTTCGGCGCCGGTCTTGAGTTGTTGAGGATGAAAGTCAGTGCCGAATGGTCTGTGTACAGGATGAACCGTCTTCCAGCGAGGTAGTGTCTAAAGTTCTGGACGGCCCAGACCACGACTAGAGCTTCCAAGTGTGTCGTTGAGTAGCGTTCCTCTGGCCCTCTCACGGTTCGTGAGACATATCCGATTACTTCTTCTTCTTCTGGGGATCCATCGGGGGACTGAGATAAAACTGCTCCTAGTCCACTCCCAGAGGCATCGGTAGTTAGGATTTGCACCTTCTCGCGGTCCGGATACGCTAAAATAGGGGGTTTAACCAGGGCTTGCTTCAGTGATTGGAAAGCGGTCTCTTGTTCGCTCGACCATCGGAACGGTTCGTTCTTCTTGATTAGTGTTGTCAATGGTTTGGCCCTCTCCGCGAACTCCGGGATAAACCGTCGATAGTACCCAACCATCCCAAGGAAGGACCGAATGTCATCCTTGCTGTTGGGTACCTCCATCCTCGTCATCTTCTGAGTATTACAGTCGTTCGGTAGTAAACCCTGAGCGGTAATCGTATGGCCAAGGTATTCGACACGATCTCTAGCAAAAATGCATTTAGCCAACTTCAACCTCAAATCTGCCTCTTTACAAATGCGCAACACTTCGCCCAAGTGCTGTCGGTGTTCTTCAATGTTTCTTGAGAAGACGATAATGTCGTCAATGAACACATAGACGCACTTTCCCAACAGGGGTCGCAACAGGTTCGTCAACGTTCGTTGGAACGTAGCGGGAGCCGATGTTAAACCAAACGGCATAACCAGAAACTCGTAGGTGCCATACTTCATCACAAACCCAGTCTTCTTGATGGCCTCCTCCGCCATGGGTATTTGCAGTGGGTGTCAAAAGGGTTCGCATCATCATAGAAAATTCAGTTTTTTGCCTGTAACTTTTGAACTACGAATGCTAGTCACAAACGGTTACAACCATTCAATAGACATTGTTTACTTTTATTAGTAAGCCAAATTTGAAGTTCATAGCTTTGTTATTAGATGAGTAAACTCATATCAAAGTTAATTAGTACATGCGAACCCTTTTGACAGATGTGAATATTTTTTATTTAATACTTTGTATGTCCTCCTTTAGCCTTCAAAACTGCTTGAATTCTATCTGGCATACTTTCTATATACTTCTTACAAGTTTCAGTTGTAAATTGATTCCATTCAGTATCTATTCTTTCCCATAACTCAGTCACTCCTTTAGCCTTAGTTTTATACATACTAAGCTTGAGTTTCAGATGATGCCATAGATATTCAATGGGATTCAAGTCTGGAGACTGAGCTGGCCATGGTAACACTTGCAAGTTATGGTCTTCCATCCATTTTTTAGTTAATTTGGCAGTATGTTTTGGGTCATTATCTTGCTGAAATATCATATCTTCACCACCAAAGGAGATACCATAGTAATCCAAAGATTGCCTCAAATGAGTATCCAAAATGTGAATATAGTCTTCTTTCTTCATAGTACCATCTAGGATTTGACAAGCATAGCTAATACCAAAGTAAGTCATGCAACCCCATATTATAACAGATCCATTGCCATGTTTAACAGTAAGATCTAAATGGTGCTCTTGCATAGCATCAGTCTTCCTCTTCCAGCAGTACTTGTTACCATCAGACCCCCAGACATTGACCTTGGTTTCATCAGACCAGACAATCTTTTTCCAATCATCAATAGTCCAATATTGATGAGCTTTGGCCCATTGTAATCTAGCCTTCTTGTGTCTTACTGATAAAAATGGTTTTTTAATTTTGATTTTAGCTTCAAAACCCATGATCTTCAAAGTTCTGATCACAGTAGAGTAAGAGACTTCATCACCAGAGCTTTTTAGATGTTTAGTCACATCAACAGCAGACTTGAGTTCACCAGAAATCATCTTTCTTTTGATGAAAGATTTAGTTTTCTTGGAGATTAATGGCTTTCTACCAGTAGCAACCTTAGGTAAAGTAGGGAGATGCTTGTTTCTATACTTGGAAACTGTTCCCTGACTTATACCAAGTTGAGTAGCAGTCTTCTTAACCGAAACACCTTGTTGTAGCAGAGTGAGAATGGAGTTCTTGAGATCAGAAGAGATGGATTTTATAATGAGATAATAAAGAAAGATAATAAAGGTAGAAGACAAAAATTAATCTCTTTTTATATCTTTTTGTGACTTAAATGACTCATAATGATACTTATATTTCTTTTTTAGATTAGATTATCATAAGAAAACTCAGAAAATCTGATCATTTAATGTAACTGTCAAAAGGGTTCGCATGTACTAATTAACTTTGATCTGAGTTTACTCATCCAATAATAAAGCTATGAACTTCAAATTTGGCTTACTAATAGAAGTAAACAATGTCTATTGAATGGTTGTGACCGTTTGTGACTAGCATTCGTAGTTCAAAAGTTACAGGCAAAAAACTGAATTTTCTACGACGATGCGAACCCTTTTGACACCCACTGTAGACGCACTTTCCCAACAGGGGTCGCAACAGGTTCGTCAACGTTCGTTGGAACGTAGCGGGAGCCGATGTTAAACCAAACGGCATAACCAGAAACTCGTAGGTGCCATACTTCATCACAAACCCAGTCTTCTTGATGGCCTCCTCCGCCATGGGTATTTGCCAATAGCCGCTCGCGGCGTCGAGCGTCGAAAACACCGTTGCACCGCCCATAGCGTCCAATAACTCGTCAATATAGGGAAGTGGGTATGCATCCTTCTTCGTAATCTTGTTCAACCTTCGGTAATCTATACAAAGTCGCCGGGAACCGTCTTTCTTCTGCACAAAGATTATAGGGGACGTCCATTCGCCATTGGAAGGTCTTATCAAACCTAGGGCCAGGAGATTATCCAGTTCTTCCCTTAAATGTTGTTCTTCGTCCCAGGTCATACGGTACGGTCGACTTCGAATTGGATCGTCAGTGGTCGTAGGAATTTCATGACTTGCAGCAGCTACACGACCCAAACCGTTGTTTTCCACGAAACAGTCCACATTTGCGTCTAAGAGTTCTTGAATTTCGGGTACAATTTCCTGCGGAATCTCCCCTTCTATTTCAGGGTTAACTTCGGATGCGTCTTCGCCTGAGTAAAGGCCCTCTACTTGAGTCCCGGTCAGGTTCGCGACTTGTACCGCATACACTTGTTTCCCTGTTTGCCTCGGCCGGATGCAGGCTATTTCCTTTACGCCCTTCTTGGTTGGCAACCAGATCTTGCTTTCCCCAGGGTCCACCTTCACGCCGTATACTTCCAGCCAGGGCATACCCAAGATGAGTAGATCGGAGGGTCGATCCTGAACTGTGCAATGCTCTGGACGTCGCTTTCCTTGGATAACTACAGGTACGTTTGGACACATTCGCGTGGCACCCGAACTCGTTTCGTCTAACATCTGGATAGCCATCCTATCATGGTTGAAAGGTAACCCTAGTCGTTTCGCCAATGGTTTCGAGATCACTGATACACTAGCGCCAGTGTCCACAACAGCTTGCACGCGGTGACCCTTCACCATCACATCCACCATCAGTGGCGTGCTCTTGTCCATTCGTTTGTAGTCGTAGGGGTAACCAATATCGGATTCTTCACTTTTACTCTCGGTTTCGGTTTCACTTTCACTTTCGGTATCTATATCAAATAAATAGGAATCAGTTGATTCACCTTCAGAGCCATCCGAATAACCTGATTCGTCGGATTCGCTTGCAGGTCGCGCCAAATTGACCACCATGGGGTCGTGCTTCGCCTTCCCCTTGTCTCGAGCATTGCGGGGCTTCCTTCCATGAAGGAATCGTAAACCTTCTTGTAATTGCTTGACGGCTTCTTTATCCAACGCAAGACGCTCCGCCACTGTCATACGAGCATCAGTAGTTGTCAATAGGTCCCAAATTGGAGACTTGTCGATGTTCACAGGTAAGCGTCCTGGTGGCGTCCTTTTCTTTCTTGGCTTAAGTTCGTTCGTAGCCGTCGTTCCACTGGGGCCAGCCATCCATGAGGTCCCTTGGTTCGTAACTTGCACCTGTGGAACTTGATTTTCACTTCTGGTCTCCATAGTTCTATTCTTCTTTGGATTTGGAGTATCTTCTTCGGAACGAGCCCGTCCCTTATTAGACCACACATGTACACCCTGTACAGGCTTCACTAGATGTACCGCCTTACTTGAGGAGTTTTCTGGAGTTTGTGAGACAGTAGACTCCTCGGGCACTACTGTCTCATGGCTTTTCCTGACTCTGGCTGTTGTTCTTGTTTCGTTGGGCAGTGGTGCGCCTTATGGCCGACTCCTTGGCACAAAAAACACTGGCCACGGAACTCTGAACGAGGGTACCTTGGTTGGCCATCTGGATAACTGTCTTGATGTCTCGTGCTTCGACTAGGACCGCTCATACCTTGTCGACTCTGTTCAATCATGTGAACTCGCAAGGCCTTGAACTCGTTAGTTAAAGCATCCATGGTGTCGGTGAAATTTGGTTCGGCATAAGCACTTCTTCTTGGTTTCGAAAGGTTAACCTCCAGATTCTTGGGCATCGCTTGCCTACCATATTTAATGTGAAGGCCTTCCTCTCTTCTTGCCAAGGTGACCGCTGCTTGATAGGTATTGGGTGAGGCGCGATCCACCAGGAGGCCCAATTCCGTATCCAAGGCAGCGCAAAAAATCTCCACCTTTCTATGTTCATCACGTAAATCTAACCTTTGGAATAGCTCTTGCTGAAAAGTAGCCAGCTCAGAAATGCTGATTCCCGTTTGTTTCTTCTCACGAAGTTGCCGCCACCATTCGGCATGTAGATCTTGGCTTGCAAATTGCCGGCGAAATTTATCCTTGAATTCGTCCCATGTAGTGGTAAAATCTTCGTTCGCGTCCCACCAAGAGCCAGCAGGTCCTCTCAACAACGACCCTGCGACCAGCAAAATCTGATGATCGGGAGTATTCAAGCCCCTTCTAATGCGTTCGATGGCATGTAGCCAGGACCATGGGTTTTCCTCGGGTTGTCCACTAAATGGATCCGGTCTTGCTAGAAATGCTTCCAGTGCGTGATTATCGGCCTTGTTCGTCACGTCGGTCGTCTTCATCTAATTTCCGGCACAATTAAGATTTTCCGTAAATGGAGGGAGCCGGTAAGGTTCGGAGACAATTAAGGTAAGGTACAGGTCCAGAAACAAAATAAGATGAGTATCTCGGTACACACCAAAAAAAATGACAGTTCAAACTACCACCCAGAATTCAAATATACCCCCGGGTTGAGTACACAAAATAAACAAAATGGAAATAAATAAAAACTCTCGCCACACGCCACTTCCAATCAGGGGTGGATACAAAATTCACAGGGGAACACAAGGATGAAATGATAATAAGAAAACACAAAATAGCACCTTGGCAGATCGAAATACACAATAAACAAATCAAGGTACAAAATACAGAATCAATCAAATAAAATAATAGCAATGACAATCAAAACTGAACCAGGCAAAAGAGTACAGTACGGCAATACAGTGATAACTTGTGGGGCCGCCCAGCTTCTCCACCAAAATGACACGTACAGTACTTGAGCGAGAGAATTAGCAGAGTTAAGAAGGCGTTCGACAACAGGAAGCAACCGACGCAGTCCTTTTCCAGTTCGTAGTTCCGTTTTTCAAATCAGTTCTACCACTTCTCGGCCGTGGTAGCTTGTTGCAATTATCGCGGAAGCTCGATTCTTCGTGTTGAGGGATATTTCTTAGTTGCAGGTACTTGCTTAGCGTATACGGTCAAATAAAAATTTATTTGACTGGACGGGGATCTCAAGTTAACACCGTGGTACGAAGATAGTACTTCTTCAATGAGGTCAAAAAAAACTGCCCCTTTTATTTCGCTCTATTCTCCTTTTTATATACGGCGGAGCAAATATAGTAACACAAAAATCTATGGGGGATTATCTATAGCAACGAATAAGGATAAAATCATGGGGTCATTTTCGGAGTAAGTCCGGAACTGCCGTAAGTCAACGTCACAATCCGGGCCGAACCGGCAGAAAAGACTTGAGGCTCAACACACAACTTGGGACGTGTCAAAGATGATACGTATAGTACTTGGACGGATAGGAGAACAAGGATAAAGGGCGAACAGTAGGCAGAGAGAACGACGACCACAATAGTCCAGCTCCAAAGCTCGTAAACTATGACAACGCAACCACTCACTAACCGTGGTATTCTTCGTTTTCGGTCCACAATCCTTCGTGCGCAGATCACGCTTTATATGAAGATACTCGCGTAGCAACGATACGATCAAATAAATTATTATTTGACTGGGCGGCAGGGGATAGTGGTAATCAAGATGTAGGAGAGTTTGGGTCCAAGAATCCGATAATAAGAATTGAGGGATAAAAGTTCGCCCTTTTATTTGGATGTTTTTCTGGCTTCTTTTATACATTTTCTATTCACAACAAAAGGGAAATTGGGATAAACTATACTAATCACAAAAAAGGGATAAAAATAATATTGACGCTCAAGCGTGTTCTCAAAAGGAAATGACAGAAATGATAATGAAAAAAATATAAGCGAATTCAAAAGAAAAATAAAAGGAAATTGATTGCCGCCGTAGAATTCAGACTACGTCGTTCACGTGATATTGACGTATTCCAGTTCAAGCAATCTGATTGGTCGAGGGCAATCTCGCGGCTCATCATACAACTCCGAATTTATCATGCTCCCCTTCTTGAGCAAGAGTTGTCTCGATCAATCATCGTCGTCGCAGCCAATGGTCTTCCGTAAATTGTCTTGCTGAGGAGTTGTTGCTCGTTACCTCAGGAACCATTCTTGTCCTCGCGCACCAAGGTTTAAGTTGGTCTCCATGAACGGCAAACTCGATTCTTCTTCCACCAGGTCCTTCTAACCAGTACGTTCCATTGGCATTCACCTTCACCACGAGACAGGGGCCAAGCCAGTTGTCGGAAAACTTCGTCGATTTGTGCTGATCGCGAAATAATACTTCGTCTTCCACTTCGAACCTGCGAGGGGTAACCAACTTGTCGTACTTCTTCTTGAATTTTCTCTTGTTTTCTTCGGACCGCTGCCTTGCCTCCTTTCGGTATTCTTCCATAATGCCTTGAATATTTTCGATTCGACCGTGCACTTCTTCAATCCATTCGCCTTCGATGTAATCTTCTCGTGGTGCGGGCCATAGGGCAGGAGTCCTCAAGTCGTAACCATAGAGCAACATAGAGGGGCTGTGTTTGGTTGCTTCATTCGGCATCGTTCGGATTGCTAAGATGGCTTCGTCCAGATACATGTCCCAGTTCTTCTTTTCACCTTTGTCTCGCACAATCTTGGATAGCGCCTGTACTACGGTTTGGTTCATTCTTTCGCATAGACCATTCACTTGCGGGCGGTAAGCGGTAGTTGTCAAATGTCGGCATCCCATCTTCTTCAGGAAATTTTCGACGTAATCGGCGGTGAAATTGGATCCTCGGTCCGTCAGTAAATAAGAGGGAACACCAAAGTCCTTGACCAAGCAATGAAATAAAAAATGGGCTGTGGTTTCCTCGTTTATATTGGGCACTGCGGCTGCGACCGGCCATCTCGTCAGATAATCGACCGCCACCAGAATATATCGGTTGCCTTGTTTTGATGTGATCACGGGTCCCACAGCGTCACATCCGACCATAAAGAAAGGCGTTGATGGTGTTGGTATCGGGTGACTTGGTTCTTGACGCATTCTTTTCTTCCGGGCTCGCATTTGACACGTTTCGCAAGTACTGACATGTTCACGTACTTTCTCAAATAGTTGGTATCCATCGTACTGGAGCCTCAGTCTTCGCCAGGTGTTGTTTATTCCGAAATGGCCTTCACCGTGTACTCGAGCAATGACTTGTCCAGCGTTGTTGGAATGGAGGACTTCAGGGCCTAATAGGTTGTCTTTGCGTTTTACGAATAGTCGGCCTTCTTGTGCGGTATATCTTCGGCTCTTGTTTCGAATGCGCTTTCGGACGATCTCATCGTCACAGTCCAAGGGGTACTCTTGCTTGGTGATATACAGTGGCTGAAAAAATTGTCCAAACCTATGCCAGTTTTTTAAGTTTTTATTCATACCGCAGCTTTTGCCATATGTATCGTCCGAATTTTTTTTTATATGAAAAGTACATTCTCTTCTCTACCTTGTCGCGAAATCTCGAAGATCGCATTGCAATTCATCGCATTGCATTCAGCATTTCAACATGATCGGTCGGTTTGGACAATTTTTTCAATAAAATCTGAAAATAAGAAAAAGTGCTTTTTCAGCCGTTTTTCTTCCTTGCTGGTATGAAAAACGCTGGCGAAATAAAAATATCTTAATGGCAACGTCCTCTAAAAAATATACACGAAGCATTCCAGGCAGAATCGTGCAATTCATGAACGCCATTAGCTCCAGGTTGAATTTGGTGCATAATGGGCGGATCTGGGGAACCGCCAGCACACTGCATCTTTTTTTTGAGCACGTTTTTCATACTGTAGAACCGCGACTTATTTTTTATTCATAGAAAAAGAGAATTTTTTTCTCTACGCTGTGCCAAAATCCCGAGCATTTTACTCCAATTCATCCTAATGCCATTGCCAATCCCGCATGTGCTCTTCATTAAGAATGGTGCTCAAATGACATGAAAAAAAAGCAGCCGAAAAAGCCTGGGAAATAATGTTGCGGTGAACAAAAACCGTGCTGCCGTGCATTTTACAGCCTTTCGGATCATATTCAAGCTAACGAAAATGCTGGAAGAATAAAATCTGCTTACGCCATGTGGTCAGATTAACCTCATGCTTGTCATAAGCGCACCCTCCGCATTTCACTCATTATAGCAGATCAACGTACTCCTGATAAGCTAACAACCTCCGGGTGCCTTTTTTTGCATAGTGAGAGCCTTAAGAACGTCATTACTGCTGGCTTGTGGCTATTTCCCGGTAAATGATCTGACATGATGAGTGAAATGCGGAGGATGCGCTTATGACAAGCATGAGGTTAATCTGACCACATGGCGTAAGCAGATTTTATTCTTCCAGCATTTTCGTTAGCTTGAATATGATCCGAAAGGCTGTAAAATGCACGGCAGCACGGTTTTTGTTCACCGCAACATTATTTCCCAGGCTTTTTCGGCTGCTTTTTTTTCATGTCATTTGAGCACCATTCTTAATGAAGAGCACATGTGGGATTGGCAATGGCATTAGGATGAATTGGAGTAAAATGCTCGGGATTTTGGCACAGCGTAGAGAAAAAAATTCTCTTTTTCTATGAATAAAAAATAAGTCGCGGTTCTACAGTATGAAAAACGTGCTCAAAAAAAAGATGCAGTGTGCTGGCGGTTCCCCAGATCCGCCCATTATGCACCAAATTCAACCTGGAGCTAATGGCGTTCATGAATTGCACGATTCTGCCTGGAATGCTTCGTGTATATTTTTTAGAGGACGTTGCCATTAAGATATTTTTATTTCGCCAGCGTTTTTCATACCAGCAAGGAAGAAAAACGGCTGAAAAAGCACTTTTTCTTATTTTCAGATTTTATTGAAAAAATTGTCCAAACCGACCGATCATGTTGAAATGCTGAATGCAATGCGATGAATTGCAATGCGATCTTCGAGATTTCGCGACAAGGTAGAGAAGAGAATGTACTTTTCATATAAAAAAAAATTCGGACGATACATATGGCAAAAGCTGCGGTATGAATAAAAACTTAAAAAACTGGCATAGGTTTGGACAATTTTTTCAGCCACTGTATATCACCAAGCAAGAGTACCCCTTGGACTGTGACGATGAGATCGTCCGAAAGCGCATTCGAAACAAGAGCCGAAGATATACCGCACAAGAAGGCCGACTATTCGTAAAACGCAAAGACAAC